TCTGCCTCAGCCTTCCAAGATTACAAGTGTGCACTACCACATCCAGCAAAATCAAGTTTTAAAAGGATGCTAATTCTAATAAATATAGAAGAAATGATCTTTCTCTCACTCCTGGATGATAGCATTAAAGTGCTTTTTAAAAATCTACTCGAAGTACAAGATGACGGTATGTGATTGGATCTTAAAATTTTTTTTTTTTAATTTTAAGGAGAAAAACAGAAAAAGGGAACAAGTTATACAGAATTAAAAAAAAAAAACCAGTAGGAAATCACTAGTTAATAGAGTACATATTGTCATTTTAGAAATAGTTGTTCAAGTTACAAAATTAAAGCATATAAAGTGGACATTCAAACAGTGAGACTGCAAACAGTTCTGTTTAATGATCCAACAAAAACTCAGTAATATGGTTATCTATCTTATACGCTTAAATATACGTGCAGTAATATCCTTTAGAGCACTTTCTTTTCCTCTCTTTTACAATGACAATTACACATTTTGGGTTTTATTACTCCCACAGTTCTTATTACTTTTTTTTTGAGGAGAATGAAACCAAATGTGACATGACAAAACAGAGTAAGTCAAATCAAAAGGTTGGACATGGTACATAATGTAAAAACAGAATACAAGGCGATCAACAATGGTTACCATAAATGCCTCTTGCTATCTTAAAAAGAACTGCCTATATCATCAGTTATAATAAAATTGAACAAAACAGTAAAAAACAAAACCAATAAAACCAAAACATTGGAGACATTACAGGACTTCAAAAGAAGATAATAGTCAAACCAGAATGGGCATCATAGTGAATCTTACTGTCGTCACAGTTGTTGCCTATACTCTCAAACTTGGTACTATCAAGCAAAACAGAATAGAGAAAAATCAGTCAAAACAAGATGGTAAGAGCAATACAGAGTTTCAAATCAAGTTAATAGGAAATCAAAGTGGGTTACTATAATATATCCTGCTATTTTTTATTTTTCCTTAATTAAAAAGATAAAATTTAAAAATAAATAATAAAAAAGGATTGAGATAAAAGAGGACATAACAACAAAACAGCACAGGTCAGAATATAACCATTTAAGCAAAATACTGTTTCACCACAAGATATCCTGACATAAAAGTTACCATAGTGTCTCTTTCCTTGAAATCTTCGAGTATAACTTCATATACTGTAGCATCAAACATGTCAAGACAATGTAAAACCATTCAAGAGAATGACAGTATTACAGGGTATTTAGAATCAACTAACAGAAAATGAACAATGGTTTCTGTATAATCTCCTTGTCTATTAACATTTTTATTTATATTATCACATATAATAAAATTCAGTAAGATACAACATGTTAAGACTGATGGAGACAGAAGAACAAAAGCTTGATGGGACTTCAAAACAAGATGATATTAAATCAGCACTAGCTATTATGATGTCTTGTTTTCTCCAAAATAGCTGTTCATACGATCCAATCTTCTCTGCCTCATTTCTGTTAGTTTATTTTCTGTCATTAGTTGTCAGTTTGTCTTCTTCATTTTGCTTTCTGCTCCATTCATTGTGGCCTCTCTGCCACTGTTTCTGGAATCTTGGTATTTTCTTTTTTAGAATGTCCTGCAGTATTCTCTGTAGAGTTGAATTGGTGGTTGCAAATTCCCCTAGTTCCGCTTTATCCTGGAAGCACCTTCTTTTTCGATCAGTTTCTAAGGGACAATTGTGCAGGTCTTCGTGATTTGATGGTTTGTGCCGAGAAGTCTGCTGTAATTCTGATGGGTGTTCCCTTGTAAGTGATATGTATTTTGTATCTGATGGCTTTTAATATTCTGTTCTTATATTGGATCTCTGGAATTTTGATTATTATATGCCTGGTTGTAGTTCTGTTTGGGTTGTAGGTGGCTGGGGTCCTGTATGCCTCATACATCTGGGTATCTTTACCTTTTGCTAAATTAGGGAAATTCTCCTGGATTATTTCTGTGAGTAGACTTTGTAATTCATTTGTTTGAACTACAAACAAATGAACTACTTCTTCTTTTACGTTCTTAATTCTTAAGTTATAGATCCTCTTATCATCTTCTAGCCTTTGTATTATTGCTGTTTGTTTCCTTGTTATTTTTAAGAAGTTTTTCATTTCATGCTCTCACATTACAAATCTGTCCTCCAGTTCAGATAATCTATCCTTAGTTTCTTTCAAGCTGTTATGCCAGCTTTCAATAAAGTTTTTAGTTTCCTGGTAATCTCGTTGAACCTACTTTATCTATTCTGCGTTTTCTCTATTTTCTCCATCAAACAGTTCTCCCCTTTTTTTCTGTTCTTCCATTCTACCATCTATTTTTTCTTGGGAGGTGCTTAGCATTTCTTTAACTATTCTACTTATATCTTGCTTTACTTGGATAAGTACTTCACTTTTGAACTCATTTATGAGGTCCTGGAGATAATCGCTTTATGTCTATTGGTGCCGTGCCTGATATTGCATGTTTTCTGTCCTCATTCTCCTTTGCATTTACATTTCCTGGATCAGTGTTCTCAGGATTGGGGACTGAGGACCCTTTCTTGTTGTTCCCTCTTCCCATACTTCTTGTTCCTTCCATACAAGGGTATATAGGAGGCCCAGTTTGTTTCTTTGTAGGTTACAATTTGTTTGAATTGTGCTGGTTAGGTGTTCCCTCCCATTGCAGTGTACTAAGGAGACACAGACCTGGGCAGCCTCTGCTGGGCCTGCCCCTCCAGGTCAGTCAACCTGGTGAAGGCTTCACTGCATTAGGGTGCACTGCCAGGTGCAGGGACCTGGGTTGAGCTAGCCTACTTGGTCTTAGTCTGCGGCATCACCCAGGAGTCTCCTAGTCTATGGAAGAGTCCTGTTCCTCTCACTCACCGCAAGTCAATGCAGGGCTCCCTGCCAGCTCTGCTCGCAATTCGGTTCACCAATTCCCCAATTCCCACTCTCAGAGCTTTCGTGTCTCTATCCCTGCTGTGCCGATTCAGATGCAGATGCAGCAGTGGTGGCAGGAAATTCAAGCTGTGGTTTCCAGAGGTGTGGGTTCCAGCTTTGGCACCGAGACTTTAGCTGTTCCAGTCGTAGCACCAGGATTGCATTTCTAGTTGGTTTCTCTCGGTTTAGTTCATTCCTGGGTTAGCAGGGTGTATCTCCCCCTGCTTAGGAATCCCCACACCGCACCATTCCTGGAATCTAAGCTGGCTATCTCAGAGAGCCTCCGTAGCTGCTGTTATCCACCGTGTTCTCCCGGAAGTCCAGAATCTTTAGAAATAATATTCTGCCTTTTTCCTTTATCCTCGCTTGCTTACTCATCTGTATCTATCCTTTTTTTTTTTGTCTTTTTCCTTTTTATCAGTACCGGGGATCCAACTGACGACTGCCTGCTTGCAAGGCAGGCGCTTATGCCACTGAGCTAAACCTCCAGCCTCCACTCATCTGTATCTATTTCCTCAGGGCCCCTGTATTTCATAACCAAAGAATTTGTATTAACATGGGTAATGTTTGCAGTATGTCAAACAGAAAATTACACAAATAGTATGAATGCACAAGTGTTTTTATTTTTTTATTTTTTTATTTTTTGTCTTTTTTATGGGTACCGGGGATCGAACTCATGACTGCCTGCTTGCAAGGCAGGTGCTAACGCCGCTGAGCTAAATCCCAGCCCCCTGCACAAGTGTTTTTAAAGGCATAGTAGAATGACTGAGTCATGCTGAACTGTAATTTCTATTAAGTGGTAGGGTTACAAGCGATCATTTTTTTTCTGTTTTTCTTGCCTTTGAAATTTTCTTCAGATTTTTATTTCTGTTTTATGTTATGTTACGTTATTTTGAAGTAGGGTCTTATGTATAGTGCAGGCTGGCCTGGAACTTGGAGTCCTTCTGCCTTGGCCTCCCAAGTGCTGGTGTTATAGGATGTACTACTGGCTTTTCTTCAGATGTTTGCATATGTGGTACTGGATGTTGAACCCAGGGCTTTCCCAATGAGCTCTGTCTCCAGCCATTTTTAATTTTGAAATGGCGTCTTGCTGAATTGCCCAGTCAGAGCTCAAATGTATGATTTTCCTGCCTCAGCCTCCTACAATGCTAGTATTACAGGAATATAACACCATAACTTTAGATTTTTATGACAGACATGAGTAAGCAGGCAGAAAATAAAATCCTAATGAAATATTTGTACTTATTGGCTTTATCCTGTAAATTAATGGGTATAGAAACCATTGAACTATTAAGTTTCAAAATCTGATAACCTGGCCGAGCATGGTTGCACATGCCTATAATTGTAGCACTTGGGAGGTTGAGGCAGGAGAATCGCTGCAAGTTCAAGACCAGCCTGGGCTACAAAGTGAGCTCAAGGCCAGCCTGAACTGCACAGAGAGACCCTGTCTCAAAAAGACAAAAATAAGTAAAAAAAAAAATCTGATTGCCTGAAATTATTGAAGAGTGAGAATCAGAGATCTTTAATTTTGTTTGTAGAGTTTATACTGAATTTTATATATTTGCATTTATGCAAACATCTGAGTTGTTTGCCATTTAGCATGTGCTCTAAATGTAAGCTGTCAAGTGAGTAATCCCAGCACTTGGGAGACTGAGGCAGCAGGATCAGTGTAAGTTTGAGGGCAGCCTGATCTACATAGTGAGAACCTGTTTCAAAACAAAAATAAATACAAGTGATCAAATTTATTAAGATGACAAGTAAAAATCCATGAGCACTGTAGATACTACAATAAACACCAAGCAAATGAATTCTTTTATAATGGTATAGTTGAGAATGTTGTGTTTTCTTAATTTATTTTTTATTTTGAGGCAGAGTCCTGCTAAGTTGCCCGGGCTGGGGTGCGCTTTTCAGCCTCCCAAGTGCTGGGGTTACAGGTGTGCAGCCCCCCACCAAGCGTAACATGTCCTGTCATAAGTTTGGGGCAGGGAAATGTGCATGCAAATGGCTGGAAATAGTAGCTCTGGGCACTTGTGATTCCTTGTGATAGTCTATGTCCTCTGACCTGGTGCGATCTTGTTGCAGGAGAATGACATCTTCCTGGGCTGGGAGAAAGGAGCTTACAAGAAGTGGGGAAAGAGTAAAAAGAAGTGTTCAGATCTAACTCTGGAGGAGATGAAAAAGCAGGCTGCTGTCCAGTGTCTTCGGTCTGCTTCTGATGAAGTAAGTTGTCATTGGTTTTAAATAAGATGAAAAAAAGAGAGTGGTGTTTTAGAAAAGTTTACAATAACTTGACCAGATTTTTCTGGAAGTAGGCTTCTGATTATCTTTCACCAAACTGAGAACATTATCATTTTCTTTTATGAAATGTTTAATATATTTTGTATCATGAAAAAAAATTTTGGAGGTATGTTTTCAGTTTAATGTTGAATTATATTTAGTCCTATTATTGCTTGATCTGTTCTTTTTAGTGTCTAAATTTTGTGTCATCAAATAGTATTCCAGCAGCAGCATGACATGGTTACTGCTAGAGACTGAGCTGGCTCTTAAGCTGGAATGTTGCATGTGTAGTTTTTTTGTGGTTTGTATTTGGATACATTTCTAGTAAGAGCAATATATTTATTTATGAGTTGTAAATCTTGTCTTAAAGAAATTATTAAGAGGTAGTTATGTTGACGCACTCCTGAAATCTCAGTACTCTGAGAGGCTGAGGCAGGAGAATTGTTGCAATGTTGAGGCCAGCCTGGGCTACATAGAGATCCTTTTTCAAAAAGTCAAAAAAAAAAATTACGATTTTTATTTCTCAGTATTTCATATCCTAAAATAATTTTAGAATAGGGTCACCTATCTAAAATAATACTGTGAATTCTTATTACTTTAAGATGTGATCTCTTGGCAGGGAATTTAGCTCAGCGACATAAACACCTGCCAGGCAAGCGTCAGAGCGTAAGTTTGATTCCCAGTACAAAAAAAAAAAAGATGTGATCGCTAAATTATAACTGAGGCTGGTATGCTGGCACATGCCTGTAAATCCCAGCACTCAGGAGGCTGAGGCAGGAGAATCTCTGCAAGTTCAGAGACAGCCTGAACTGCATAGCAAAACCTTGTCTCAAAAAGAACAAAAAAAGGAAAAAAATAGTCATAACTGAGATGTGATCTCTTCTGAAGTCAGAACTAAAAATCATTTTAGTTTGCAATTTGTTGTGAGACAGTGGTGGGTCCTGGCTTGCAGGCTCTGACTTCCTAAGAAAGTGCAGAGGGGCAGGTGTGGGGACCCCAGCTCTGTGTCACAGGATGATCTGCCACCTGCTGCACCCACCGCCACCTGCCTTGTCATGCACGGCCTGCTCATCCTGCAGTGCAGCAGGTCAAGGGCAGGGTGTCGCCTATCTTCTTTTATCTCCTCGTTCCTTAGCAGGATGTATGCCTATCACATAGAAGCTCCTGAATTTCTCTTGAACTGAATCAAAAATAATTTTTTCTTGCTGTTTGTTTGTATTGGAGATTAATCTGAATTACATCCCAGGCCTGTTTCAGTTTTTTAATTTAAGATGGTCTTGCCAAATGGCTTCAGTTGCCCTGGTTGGGCTTGAATTTAGATTCTCCCCCAGAGCACAGCGATTACAGGCCTCAGCTTTCCCTTTCCTCCAGGCCTTGTCTTCCTCCGTAGTCTCTTCTTCCACCCTTCAGTGTGAATTCCCCAAGCTCCTCCTCACACAGTGTTGGGGTAGAATGTGAAAGTTAACTACCGTTGGGGCACAGTCAGGTAGTGGCTCATTAGCACAATCTGGAACAGAATTACTCCTGCAAGAAGGAACCAAGGGCTGGAAGTGTGGCTTCGGGATGAACCTGAACTGGGGGTCACTCTCTCATTTGCTTCTGTTGGCTTCTGGGTGACCACGGTCCTGTTAGTGGCCAGCCCAACCGTAGCCCAGTCTGAGCCCTGACCACCGTACTCACCCGTTTGGCCAGAGAGAAATCCTGTTGGTGCTGTATGGGCCAGGAATCAGCCTGTGGAGGGGTGAACGGTGGAGGGGCAGGGCTGGGGCGAGAATTCTGCAGCAGCAGCAGCAGCGGAGGTGAGGCTGGGCAGTGACCTCAAGGTGCCCTCTTGGCAACACTGAAGGAAGGGATTCAAAAAGAGTGCAGAGTGCAGATGGGCTGGATAAGTGAGAGGGCAGGCAGGGAGTTCTTTGAGCAAAGTCCAGAGAAGCTGCTGAGTCACCGCTGGGAGGAAGATAAGAGGAAAGCAGAAGAGTCTGAGCAAGGATCTTGTTTCTTCTTCAGACCAAAGTTGCTGAGCAATGACTGTGCCTTGGGCCCCGGAGCAGCTGTGGCCTCCTTGGGGAAGGGAGGAGCAGAGTCTTAGTGTAGCAGCAGCACCTACTCCCACAGCTGCGTGAGGCACACCAGCTGGCTGGGCCTGCCCTTGCTGAGAGGCCAGCCGCAGGACAGTGGCTTGCAGGGTCTTTGCGAGCTTCGCATATCACTTTGGAAAACGCTTCCCTGCGTGTGGCTGGCACAGGGAGAACTTTATTTCAACCCCAGTAAGCCACGCTTACCCTGTCTCTTTCCTTCTCATTTTATAAAAGAAACGTTCTGCTGCTGTTTGGTAATCTGACCACATCCACACTGCCTGGGGAGAGGAAGGGCAGGTGTCTGTAGTGTTCAGTGAGTCCTGTGAGGAGAGCCCCAGCCTGCTTTGCAGCCACTGCTGTGCTTTGGGCCTCGGTTCGCAGACCCTGTCGACTGACTTATGGGGTGTAATGGGAAGAACTGACTGAGGCGTTACTTTTTTCCTCTGATTTTATGAGACAGGATCTTGTTAGATAGTTCAGGCGTGAGCTTGGTATATCACTGAGGTTAGCCTCAAACTCACAAAGATCCTCCTGCCTTGGCCCCCTGAATGCTGCAATTACAGATGTGTGCCACTGCATCCAATGAAACTTTTTTTTTTTTCTTTTTCCTTTTTATCGGTCCCGGGGATCAAACTCACGACTGCCTGCTTGCAAGGCAGGCGCTTATGCCGCTGAGCTAAATCCCCAGCCCCGAAACTTTTTATTTTTAAAAAAATTAATTAAAACCAGGAATCAAACTCAGACCTCATGCTTGCCAGGCGGGTGCAGTGCTGCTGAGTTGTACCCTTCCTTGAGGCTGTTTAACTGTGTTTATAGCGATAAGAAGAGCTGATATGGCAGCTTACGGGTGTAGGTGTTCTCTTTGTTGCCTTCAATGGAATGAGAGCAGCAAGGAGGACCTACATGGGAAGTCACAATGCAGAAGGTCACTGTATTTTACTGTTTCATTGACACAGAGTGTGTGGGCCTTTGAGTGTGGTGTCGTTTGTGGAATGTGTACCTGGGTTGGTAACAGCTGTGGTGCTGCGTGGTCAGGTACCCTGTGAGCACCGCACAGCATGCTCTTCCCATCACTGGTGATCCCAGGGAGACCCCGAGTGAAGGAGTTTGTATCAAGAGACGGCAGTGCCGATGGTGTGGTCAGAGGACAGAACTGGGCAGCATGAGAGTGTACAGGGAGGTTAAGGAGTGCTGTCCTGGCGCACGAGATGAGTCCTTTTCTCCTACATGGGTGCGTTGTGATTGTGGCCGTGAATGTTGAGTGTACTGTTCTTCCAAAAGCATCATGGTTAATGCTTTGCTGGCCTTGAAGTCCCAATGCCCCCGCCTCAGCTGGCCTCTGCTGAGGCCACCGAGTAGAGTGCTAGGGAAAGCGGAGCGTACCCCTGTCCTCCGTCTTTCTTACCTGTGGTTGTGTGGTATCCAGAGCTGTACCTGGGGTGAGCGGTGCAGGGCATCCCACTGCACTTTGCTTGAGGCTTCTCTGGCTGCTGACCTTTGCCCTAACTCTAGGTAGTAAGAGCATCAAAACAATGATAAGTGGCACCTATCAAACCCTTGCACTGAGTGAGGGGGCCTTGTGAGAGGTGGCACTCCCTGCACCCCCCCAGGTGGACCAGAGAAGCAGCCGGTGGTTACCAGCTGAGCCAGGTCCTGCAGAGCCAGCTCCCCTGGCCGTCTCTGGAGGCTCCTGCTCACCTGATACTGTCTTTCCCATTTACTGTACTTTTACCAAACTGCTCAAAGGTGCATACAGATATGTTTCTCCTTGGGTTCTTAAACTCTGTGTTGTACCTTCTTTTAAAAATGTATCTGTGTTAGAGCTGAGCATGGTGGGAGTGGGAGGGAGGATGCCAGCCCAGACTACATAGCAAGGCCCATCTCAAAACGAACAAATAAGACCTGTTCTCATTGGAGAAAAGTTTTGTGCTGCTATCAGTTTGTTTCTTCAAGAGAGAATCTTTGCCTGTGTCTTGTACTCTGAGTAACTGCTTTGAAGATAATGATGCCCAGTGTATTGTTATTGTCTCATTTTGTTACAAATTTTTATTTTTATTTTTTTGTGGTGCTTGGGATGAAACTCAGGGCCTTGCATGTGCAAGGCAAGGAGTCTAGCATTGAGCCTCATTCCCAGCCCCTTATTTTATTTAATTTTGTTTATTTGTTTTTTGTTTTTTTTTTTTTGAATTCAGTTCTTTATATAAAGTCCCTCGTAGAAACAAAACAGAATTAAAAATAAAACAAAAAGAAAGGAGAGGGCAAAATTTTAAAAAGAAAGACTCATTGCTTCTCTGATTTCTCTTCGGTCTCTTTTCCAGGGTCCTTATTCTTCTTTACAGACAGAGCTTCTAGCTTTTCAGCTACTTTTTCCGCATTATCATTTTTGCCCAGTCCTTCTATAGCAGTCACCATCTGAGGAGCAAGAGACTGTATCTACCATAGGTTCTAGAGAGTTATGACTCAACTGGCTACCTGGACACTAAAGTGGTGTGAGACCAGTGACAATGAGCACAGCTTGGGGGCCTACCGAGAAGCATTCTATGTCCCCAAGAAGCTGCACTGCCCCCCTGACAGGTCAAGGCTGTCACAGCTCCCTGGAGTGGTTCTCTGGCAGACAGAAAAAGTACCTGCCTGGAGGCTACAGCCAAGTGCAGAGTGAGTCTGCAATTTTTTGGTCTTTTTGAGACAGGGCCTCCCTATGCAGTTCAGGCTGGTCTTGAACTCACTTCGTAGTCCAGGCTGGTCTAGAATTTGCAGTGATCCTATTGCCTCAGCCTCCTGAGTGCTGGGATTACAGGCATGTACCACCACGGCTAGCTTTCTTATTTTATTTCTTACAAAATAAAAAAAAGTAATTGTTTTAAGTTCTGTTTCAAAGACCATAGACCCTTTCGTTACTTGGTGAGTGAAGGGTGCATCCACAGTTTACCAGAACCTTCCTTATGTCCCGGCCCTTCAGAAGAGTTCACCCTGGACAGTGGGAAGTCCGTGTGGAACGGACACTGCCATCCCTGTGCAGTAAGACTTGGGCTTGTCCGTATGTGCATGCATGTGCCCAGGTGAAGGGGGAAGTGGAGGCCTTCAGCTGAGAGGCTCTTGATTTTCGGGTGAGAGTGGAGGCTGATTGTCCTGGCTCCCACAGCTCCAGACTCATTCAGGTCATATTCTCTCTGCCTTGCCTCACCCTGCAAACAGACAGACAGACAGACAGACAGACAGATGGGAAGCAGTGGAGTTACCTAAGTCTGCACGTGCCATTTTCTCATCACATGTATCAGGTGATATCCCTTGCTCCTGGTGGCACAACAACTTTTCACTGTCTTTCAAAGAGCACTTCATCTGTACCATGGCACACACCAGGGCTTCCCAGCTGGCTGCATCTCTCCTCCTGTACGTCCTTGTCTCAGAGCAGATGTGCACAAGTGCTGGAGACACACCAGGCTTTGCAGCTGCTTCTGTGTTCAAGGGCTGGGGATCGGCACTTGTACAGGATCTTGGGAGAAGCAGCTGTTCAGCTGGGCTCTGGGGATTTAAAGTTTGTCATTACTTTTCTGGCCCCTGAAGACAGCAGTTTGCAGATCCCGGTCTGTACTCTCAGTCCCCTCACTGGCAGCTCTTCAGTTACTGGCTTAACATTCATGTTAGCTCAGTTCTAGATTCCTCAAGAGTTTAAGAGTCTACCTAGGGACTGAATGACAACCTGGAAGTCGGTGGCAACTCCCCATCCCTTTGTGCTGTCTGTTACTAGACATCAACATGCAGGTTTCTGTCCCAGAGAAGACAGAAGAGAGGAGCATTTGTCTCTAGGAAAGAAATTGCTGTGAGGAAATGAAAGATGGTGATCTCTTGAAAATTCTGAACATGGTAACAGATGTGAAAAATGCAGTACACAGTGTGGAGTGCACAGCAGAAGTGGGATGGAGGCCAGAAAGAAAAAGTGAGGGTGAGTTGGAAAGGAGAGTGAAGAGAGAGGAGCAGGATGCCCCCTAAGCAGACACATTCGGTTGTCAGCGTCCCTTCCAAATGTGGAGACCAAGGCTGTGCCAGGCGCCTGGTTGTTGTGGGGTCACATGGTTCACTCAGACACAGGCCTGCGACTCCACATGCTGTGCGCCGGTGGGGCTGGACTTTGGGCACCACTGAGCGAGGACTAGGCGGGGTCCCAGGCTACTGGCCCATGAGTGCTTGGTGGGCAGGCTGCAGCAGGAGTCTGGTGTGAGGAGGACGGTGCAGCAGGGCCGAGACTAACTCCTCCCTTCCGCTAACAGTCAGGTGCTGTAAAGGCTGGAAAGCGTGGAGTGGATGAGAATCACTGAGAACGTTGTGGGCGTGACAGGGGCTTTGCAGGGACCGTGGAAGAATCTGCAGACACAGAAGGACTCAGCTGCGTCTCCAGCAGCTCGGAACTCTTCATTCAACCTGTGGGAGTCAGAATGGCATGGCTCAGGAAGGAGCAGGCGGGGAGGCGGGGCAGGGTGGAAGGGCACGGAAGGCTGTGTTCAGGCAGCTGGCGTGCTTCCTCCTCTCATTCAGACTCAAGTCATGGAAATCAAAGGCACTTTTGAAGGGATGAATCCAAAACTGAAAATGAAAGACGCACAAGAAGCTGGAATTGACTCCAACATTTAAGTGGCCACGGGAATGGGTCAGAAGGGTGTGTGACACAGGTGCTTACCCAGGTGACTCGAGAGTAGAGCTGACAGTATCTTGGTGAAGAGGAAGGGGGTGGTGCCGTCCAGTTGTTTGCTGCTGGGCAAGCATTCAAGACCCAAACCCCCCACCCCCCACCCCCGAATTGTCCCCAGAACTCTGGAAGGGCTGGCCTGGTTCTCCTGCACCTAGCCTACCATGCGAGGGACAGTAACCACCATCATTTGGTGACAGACTTCAAGATAGACCAGGGTGTCTGTCTTTACTCTGAGTGCCTCCTGAGCGTGCCAGCCACCTTGCAGATGTGGAGTGCTCCAGCCTGCCTTTGAATGCTCTCTGGTTTGCAGAGCATTTTCTCTGTGTGTGCCGGGTACTCAGAGCAGTGACTGTTATCACAGAAGCAGGGCCAAGTGCAGTCACAGAGTGCGGGCTCTGTCTGCAGCCCACCTCAGCCAGTGGAGCTGTTACTAACATAGTGGCACTGCATCTGGATCTTCATTTCTCAGGATACCATTGGCTTTTAAAGCATTCTTGAAAGCCCTATGCATGTGTTGTTACTAAAGTAACATTGTTAAAATTCTCTAGTAGGTTATGTTACAACTGGGGAAGTGTGTAACATTTTTCTTTAACTAAATTACCGCTTTAGAATACCTGCCAGGACACAGCAAGGGTACAGCGGCAGCTTCTGATGTCTGAGGTCCATTTAAGCTATTACTGTAGCCTGGGGCCTTATGATATAAAAATGTAAGTGGGCTGCGTTTGGGAAAGAACAAAGCCTAGTCTTAAAACTTGCTTTTACACACAGAGTAAGAAAGGAGCTCTTCACTTCCTGTGCTCTTTATATATGAGAAGATACATACTTACAGGTTTATAAGTGCGGACAACCATATTATAAAGGAGAGGCGTGAGCAGTATGTAATGTATAACAGTACCTGCTCCCGTCTGTAAACACATCTCTGTATACGTGGTTTTCAAGCCAGAGTGCTGAGAAGCCCTGCTCACTGGGCTGTAATGGTGGAGCTGCGCTGCCCACTTAGAGTCTGGGAAAGAGCTTGCTCGGCAGGGCCTGGAGATCCTATGCCCTGTCCTGCCCTGCCCTGGAGACAGCTCTGGGGTCACAGATGCAGTGACCAGGCTTGCTGTGCAGAGCAGTGCGCAGCAGGTCAGCTGACTGGTGTCAGTTTCAGGGTCTGGGAGGTGGAGTCTAGCTGCCGTCCTCATCGTGCCTGGAACAGTATGGTAAGCAGACCCTCTCCGAAGGAACTGTGGGTCCACCAGTGTGTCCGACTCACATCTGCCACGGCTTCTAAGCGTGTTATTAGAGGAAAAGACAACACCGCCCCAGCCCATTTCCTGTCTCTGTTAGGAAGCTGTGGCATGATGTGAATAGAATGGAGCTGTAGATGTGCACAATTAATTGTTTCTATTGTAACTCTGTCTTGCTGCTCAAACTGTGTAAGCCAGGGCTTTCTTGCTCAGGAATCTGTGCAACTTGTGCTGAGTCACTTGAGCTGAGTGAATGGGGTAAAGTCCTATTTTTAGTCTTCCAGCCAGGGACGGGCACTGGGTGCTCCCTCCTGTGTTTCTGTCTGGCTATACCCTCCTAAAGGGGCTTGAATTCAACTGAAAGGGAACTTCTAAGGTTCTCAGAAAAACATTCACCTCTTGTATCTGTTGTAAGATTTTCTTCTTCATGAAAAGTATTAAAAGTCTGCATAGTAAAAGATGGTTTGCTTTTGCTTGTTTCCAACAATAATTTTCTTTAAAAACTGGAGCTTTATTGCTATCCTCCCAATTCCAGATTCTTCCAGGTACTCTTCCTAAGTTTGGCTCCAGCACTGTAACGAGGCTTATACCTTGTTCCTGACAAATCTTCAAAGGAAAGCAGAGCTTGCACGTTGGTCCCAGGCACTGACATCTTTTCTGTGTAGCTCTTTGTGTGTGTAGTCAGGATAGTTCCCTTCAGAAAGGGAAGAAGACTGTGAACTCCCAAAAGACTGAGATAATGCTGTGGTTTTTCTTCGTATTGAATCTGTACCGTCCATGCTCTGATAGATACGTTATACTGTTTTTGTTGCTGACAGACGTTTAAAGTCTGCTATTTAAGTATGGATGTGTTTCTTCTGGAACAGGGAAGATCGGTGAACGTCTGTATTAATAGAGGTATGTGAATGCCCACATTTCTCTACCTGGTGGCGAGCTAACAGTCTTCCTGTTTTGCAGAGCTCTGGAATCGAGACCTTGGTGGAGGAGCTCTGCTGCAGACTGAAAGACCTGCAGAGCGAGCAAGGTGAGTGTTGCTTCGCTCAGGAACAGGGCAGGGGTGGGAGTGCAGCCCCTGCTGGGGCCTGAAGCAGGGTTAGAACTGCTCAGGTCTCCACTCCTTAGCTCTGCTAGCAGCTTGTGTGGGCCCTTTGCAGCCCCTCATGGGGATCCCTGCTCCCAGAAGAGAAGAGGGACTTCATCCCTGGGCACCTGCAAGACAGGAAGTGGGGGTGGGGGTGGTTTTGTTTTGTCTTTGTGCACTCGGGAGCAGTGTTTTCTCTGTCCTCATGGCCCTGTCCTGTCTGCCTGCTGATAGCACTGCTACAGAGGTGGCGCTCGTTTTTGAAAGGAACTTCTGCCCTGGCTTTCATTATTTTTTTTTTTTAATCCAGTACCAGGAATCGAACTCACAACCATGTGCTTGCAAGGCAGGCGCTTAATGCCGCTGAGCTAAATCCGCAGCCCCTGGCTTTCATTTTTTGAGTGGGTAGACTTGACAAACTTATTATTAAGTCATTTTGCTGGACCCTCATGACTTAGTTTCCTGACAAGATCCAGGAAAGATATAATACATTATAAAGTTGGAATTCCGTGAGACAGTATTTGCTGGGATTTGACCAACCTCTTCCTGCTGAGCTACTGCTGGGACCTCCAAGCCCCAAAGCACAGTGGTGGTCCTATCCAGCTGCGGTCTCTCCTGGCACACCGCAGAAGTAGATATTTATTAAAAAGACAAACTGGTGAAATGTTTTCTTATTAGGCTATAAAATCCTGTTTTGTTTTTGATTAAAATTACTAGAGAAGCTTTTTTAAAATGAGGATTTATAAACTAGATGTGACAAATCTTTCTGAATTTTTGTTTCATAACAGAAGAGAAGATTCACAAAAAGTTGGAGGGGTCTCCCTCTCCAGAGGCCGAATTATCCCCCCCAGCAAAGGATCAAGTGGAGATGTATGTAAGATCGTCTTCGGTGTAAAATGTACATCTGTTAAAATCAGACCAGTAATTGCTGCATGGTTTCTGTTTTTATTATCCCTGCTTAATTTCTCTCTTCATAATGTAAAAAGTAGTTACTGAACATATCGCATGCTTCAGATTCAAAGTTGAATAAAATGGTTCTGTCCGTACCATTCGTGTTCAGGAAGTACTGGTGAAATGGGTAGACTGAACAGGTAGCTGTTTCCAGTCCGTTAAGACGTTATGATTGCCCTTGTTCACAAGCAGGAACGTGGTTTCATCTGCTTGTTACAAAGGGAGTAGGCAGCCCTTGAGCCAGTCAAACCTGTTTCCTGTGCTTTAGTTTTTTTCATTGTAAATGATTAATATTAAAGTAATTACATTTTAAGCAGATTTCTTTCTTACATATTGTATTGTAGTCTTCTGAATCTCTAAAACCTAAGGAAAAAATTGTGTATAGTTGTTCTATATAGACCTGTGCTGTCCCTAACCCCAAGCCTCAGGAGACTGTATTTGCTCTTGGCTAGTTCAAATTGAGATGTGCTATAGGTTTAAGATTCTCATCCGATTAAAGAGCCTTGGCGTAAGAAAATACCACATATTGCATTAATTATTGTTTAATATGGAGGACATGTTGGAATGATGTGTTTATTTAATTAAATAAAATATTATTGCAATTAATTTCACCATTTCTTCTTACAGCTTTAAAGTCATTGATAGAATTTTTTTTTTTTTTTTTGGTACTAGAACTCAAACTCACGACCTCATGCTTACTAGGCAAGCACTTATGCCCCTGAGCTAAACCCCCAGCTTGCTAGAATGTTTAGAATTACATATGGAGCTCACAATATTGTTCCAGACAGCTCTCACATGGGCTGAGAAGGAGAGTTGAGTCCAAGCACGGCCTTTGCCATTTCCTGTGTGACCTTGAGCATCGTCCCCACAGCAGCACACTCAGTGCCTACAGCTGCAGCTCTTGTGGGGCAGTCTGGTTTGCTCAAAGCTCCTCTGGGGCCCCCAGTTCCCTAGCAGGGCAAAGCCCCAGAGAGCCAGCCTTTTGATCTTTCCTCTTCTGCATTTCCAGGAGATTCTGCCAGTTAGGTTTCGGTGCAGGAGCTCATCCCCAGGTCCTCGTGCCTCACAGCCTGTACTCACTGAACTCTGGGACTGCATGGCTCCTCTGAGGTCCCCTTTTCTCAGGTTGCCCTAGGCCTTACCAGCATCCTCTTCTTGAACACTCAAGTGCAGTTGTACCTGCCACTCTCAGGAGCCTGCTGAGATGCTGAGCCCTGTGCTAGTGTCCTGAGGTGGAGCAGCAGGAGTCAGGGCTGTCTCACACTTTTCTGATTCGCTTCACACATGAATACCTCCACTGCTGACACCACCTCCTCAAAGGGGGCTGCACTCACCTGCTTCTTTGTGGCTCAGGAATATGAGCTCCAGAGAGGAAGGAACAGTTCTAGAGTCAGAGTCCACAGCTAGCAGGGGGCAGAGCTGGGATGTGTCCTTGGGGTGTGGCTTCAGAGCTCCTCCCCTGAATGATTAACTGTTCGGCTTCTCAGTTGTGTAGAGTCCTGGGGCTCAGAAAGCTCTGTGAGGCAGGTCATAGGCTCCCCTTTCACAGTTGAGAAACTAGACCAAAACATGAAATAAATAATGAGCTTAAAGTCACAAGCGTAGTAACAGAGGCTCAGATTTGAACATTTTGTACTGAAAAGACTGTGTTCTTTCAAAACTATGTTTGTCATTTTTGCCTCCTAATTAAAATTCAAGCTTTGAAGATACATTTGTCATCTTACATATTTTCATAACGTTTATAATGTGCTTATCAGTCAGTGCTGGGCAAAAAGGTACTTGGTGCACAGGATCAGTTTACTGCACAGCATGGGTTTTTGTTTCGTTTTGTGAGACAGGGTCTTGCTCAGTGTGTTTTACTGTACTGCAGACTGGTACAGTTAATTCATGGATGATGTGCATGCTGACTCATAACGCAGAATTCCACTTCTCTGGTGGGTCGTGGTGTTTTATGGTATGGAGTGCATCTCATTTTTTAACACACCTCTGTTTTTCAGGTACTATGAAGCATTTCCACCGCTTTCTGAGAAACCAGTTTGCCTGCAGGAAATCATGACCGTGTGGAACAAGTCCAAGGCCTGTTCTTACTCCAGCTCCTCTTCGTCATCTACAGCGCCCCCAGCGAGCACAGACACATCTTCTCCCAAGGACTGCAACAGCGAGAGTGAAGTCATCAAGGAAAGAAACACCATGCACGAGAAAGCCCAGAGCAGAAGCAGACATGAGAAGGAGAACAAACTGAGCAACAGCAATGTGGAAGAAAAGCCCACCTCACACAAAAAGCAGATCCGACACAAACTGGAAGGGAAGATGCGCCCTCGCTCCTGGTCTTCCGGCTCTAGTGAAGGAGGCTCAAGTTCAAGCGGTAATCAGGGAGAAGCCAAAGCATCCATGAAGTATATTAAAGTCAGACACAAGGCGCGAGACATTCGAAACAAGAAAGGGCGGAACGGGCAAAGCAGGCTGTCCCTGAAGCACGGGGAGAAGGCAGAGAGGAGCATGCATGCAGGCAGCGGCGGTGGTGGCAGCAGCAGCAGCAGCGGGTCCATCAGGCAGCTGTGCAAGCGGGGTAAGCGGCCAGTCAAGGAGGCAGGGAGAAAAGATCCCGGGAGCACTGGAGGGAAGGAGCTGTACGCAGAGAGCAGGAACAACAAGGAGTACAAAGAGGAGCCGTTGTGGTACACCGAACCAATTGCTGAATATTTTGTTCCTTTAAGCAGAAAAAGTAAATTAGAGACCACATACCGGAACAGACAAGACACGAGTGCTCTGACACCAGAGGCAGTGGAAGACTTGACTGAGTCAGTGCATGGTCTTTGTATCAGCAACAATAATACTCACAAAACATACCTCGCAGCAGGTACTTTCATTGATGGTCATTTTGTAGAAATGCCTGCGGTTATAAATGAGGATATCGACCTCACTGGGACCTCATTATGTTCTCTGCCAGAGGACAACACATACCTAGATGATATTCATCTGTCAGAACTAACACACTTCTACGAAGTGGATATTGATCAATCCATGTTGGATCCTGGTGCCTCAGAAACCATGCAAGGAGAAAGTCGGATCTTGAATATGATTCGACAAAAAAGCAAAGAGAATACAGATTTTGAGGCAGAATGTTGCATAGTGTTAGATGGCATGGAGTTGCAAGGGGAACGTGCAATATGGACAGATTCGACCAGCTCGGTGGGTGCTGAGGGCCTGTTCCTGCAAGACCTCGGCAACCTGGCGCAGTTTTGGGAGTGCTGCTCGTCCAGCTCTGGCGACGCCGATGGAGAGAGCTTTGGAGGAGACTCTCCAGGCAGGCTCTCTCCCATCTTGGACAGCACAATGCTCAACTCACACTTGCTTGCTGGCAATCAAGAGCTCTTTTCAGATATTAATGAAGGATCTGGTATAAACTCTTGTTTTTCAGTGTTTGAAGTGCAATGCAGTAATTCTGTTTTACCATTTTCTTTTGAAACACTCAACTTGGGAAATGAAAATACAGATTCTAGTGCTAATATGCTTGGGAAAACACAATCTAGATTGCTAATATGGACCAAAAATAGTGCCTTTGAAGAAAATGAACACTGTTCTAATCTTTCAACAAGAACTTGTAGTCCGTGGTCCCATTCGGAAGAAACACGTTCAGACAACGAGACATTGAGCATTCAGTTTGAAGAATCCACACAGTTTAATGCAGATGATATTAATTACGTAGTTCCTAGAGTCTCCTCAAATTATGTAGATGAAGAACTTCTAGATTTTTTGCAAGATGAAACTTGCCAGCAAAACAGTAGAACTTTAGGAGAAATTCCAACGTTAGTTTTCAAAAAAAGATCTAAACTAGAATCTGTCTGTGGTATTCAGCTAGAACAAAAAACAGAAAACAAAAACTTTGAAACTACACAAGTGTGTAGTGGAAGCAGTCCACATGGAGATGGCTACAGCTCAGGGGTTATTAAAGACATTTGGACAAAGATGGCAGACAGGAGTTCTGTGGCTACAGTGGAGATAGAAGGGATTGAGGGTGAGTTGTTTTCTTCAGATGTGAATAACTACTGCTGCTGTTCAGACGCGGAGGCTAAGCTGGAGCCGCTGCAGGAGCCTAGCAGGGCAGTGCGGAGATCAGAGTATCGCCTCTGGGAGGGGGAGCGAGGGGACCTGGAGAAGAGGGCCTTTGTCTCTGGTGAGCTCTCCAAGGTGGATGGTGGTGATTACACCACGCCCTCGAAACCGTGGGATGTGGCCCAGGATGAAGAGAATGCCTTCATCCTTGGTGGGGTCTATGGAGAACTCAAGACCTTCAGTAGTGATGGGGAATGGGCAGTCGTGCCACCCGGCCATGCCAAAGGAAGCTTGCTACAGTGCGCAGCTTCCGATGTTGTGACCATAGCTGGGACCGACGTCTTTATGACCCCGGGAAACAGCTTTGCCCCTGGTCACAGGCAGTTGTGGAAACCCTTCGTATCATTTGAACAAAACGATCAGCTGAAGAGTGCGGAAAATGGGTTAAATAAAGGATTTTCTTTTATCTTCCATGAAGACTTACTAGGAGCTTGTGGTAACTTTCAAGTTGAAGATCCTGGACTTGAATATTCATTCTCTTCCTTTGACTTAAGTAATCCGTTTTCACAAGTTCTTCATGTAGAATGTTCATTTGAACCTGAAGGGATTACATCTTTCAGCCCCACTTTTAAGCCCAAATCAATCCTCTGCTCTGACTCAGACAGTGAAGTGTTTCACCCTAGGATATGTGGTGTTGACAGGACCCAGTACAGAGCCATCCGCATCTCTCCCAGGACTCATTTCCGCCCCATCTCTGCATCGGAACTGTCCCCAGGAGGAGGAAGCGAGTCAGAGTTCGAGTCTGAGAAAGATGAAGCCAGTGTTCCCATTCCTCCTCAGGTGGATGTCTTTGAAGATCCACAGGCAGATCTCAAACCTCTGGAAGAAGATGCAGAGAAAGAAGGCCATTACTATGGAAAATCAGAGCTTGAGTCTGGGAAATTCCTTCCCAGGTTAAAAAAGTCTGGAATGGAAAAGAGTGCTCAGACATCACTAGATTCCCAGGAGGAGTCAACTGGGATTCTACCAGCCGGAAAGCAGAATCAGTGTTTGGAATGTAGCATGAGTGAATCTCTGGAAATAGATTTAGAAAGCTCAGAAGCAAATTGTAAAATAATGGCACAGTGTGAGGAAGAAATTAATAACTTTTGCAGTTGCAAAGCAGGTTGTCAGTTCCCTGCTTATGAAGATAATTCAGTTTCTTCGGGACAGTTGGAAGAGGTACGTTTCTGTGTGTCGGCATTTGACAAAGGACTTGGTCAGACTTAATTGAAAAATAGCATCCAAAGAAAGGGGCTATTAGGGGCTGGGGATTTAGCTCAGCGGCATAAGCGCCTGCCTTGCAAGCAGGCAGTTGTGAGTTCGATCCCTGGTACCGATAAAAAGGAAAAAGAAAAGGGGGGGGGCCTATTAAACCAGTGAGAAATTAGCTTAAATGTCTTATGGCTTACCATTCTTATAATTTTACATTTGAGAACCTAAAATGAGCTGATATTTATGAATTTGAACTGGTACACATTTGAATACAAATGACAGATTTTAAGATTCTTCTGTGCTGGTGTTAATGTAGTGTGCACAGAGCAGAAACTGTGTGATCATAGGGCTTTCAAAGCCAGTGAGCCAGGCAGGGCTGCTAGTGACACTTCTTCAGGTAGCGCCTGTCCAGCTGACTCTTGGATGCTGGTCAGCTTTTTCCAAGCTTATGTTTTATGTGTAAACCTGCTCAGTCATACCCACTCAGTGTTTTAGAGAATACATGTGAAAATGAACTCACAGTTCCAGTGCAGCACACTGTTTCTACAGAGCTAAGTAGATGGATCTTGGCTATACAAAGTAGGTTCTGAAAGCTCTGAATTCCACTGAGTCCGTCAAGTCAGAACAGCATCAAGTTTTGTTAGTGAGATCAGCACAGCCCTTAGTTGTGTTCCTAGGAGATGCTTTCAGGTTAAGTTGGTTGTACCAGAACTAACACTTGGGCAAACCATTGCAGCCCGCCCACTTGCAGCTTTGTTTGATGAAGCAGTACCTGGCCTTTCTCCATTGGCAGCCTGCTGAGCAGAGAGGAGCCGTCTAGATGTCATGCCCGGGGGCAGAGCAGGAGTACTGCCTCCCTCCCACGCACTCCCAGCCCCGGCTTTCCACGGCCATCTCCTTGCTGACCTCTCTCCCACTCCGACCCTCAACACTGATATCTCCATTCTCTTCCTCTTCTGTGCCCGATGCCGCTTTCTGACCCATTTTCCATGTCCTGTGTATCACCTGTGGTTATCAGCTCCTCGTGTCTGTGGCCCATGTCTTATCCAGACACCAGGTGTCCAGCTCCGTGCTTGCAGTTTGGGCGTCCTGGGTAACTCCAGGGTTAGTGCTTCTAGGAACCCATAAGGGGATGAGGTTAGTCCTTCTAAACACTGGCATCAGCACTGTAAGCAGAATCTGATGAGTCGTTAGCTTTTATCTGTTGTTTATTGCCCCCCCCCTTTCCTCCGTAAAGCGCCCTTTATGTACTTTGTATTTCACCTGGTTCCAGATTGGGAAGAAAGAAAAAGAGGAAAGAAGCAAGAGTCTGCGCCGTATCACTACCATGTTCCTTCGCTTCCTAGTATGTTGATGTATTTACCTGTTACCAGAATTCTGGGTTTTCCTGGAAGGCCTCAGCTTCCAGAGCACAGTCTTAGGTTTGGGGCCAGGTGTTGGGGTATCCAGGTCTCAGCAGCAGCCCTGTGTTGTGGTACTGGGTTGAAGAGCTGGACTGAATAACCTGAAGAAACCGCTGGGCACTAGGCTGGGGCTAGACACCATGCCCTCCCATCCCTTTGGTGGTCCTCCCTAGATGCTTGGTGGACGATCCTCCCCCTTCCTCTAGTGGCCCCTTCAAAGGCACCAGCACCTCATCTTTTCCAGAGCAAGCAGGATGGCCACCAGTACTGATGTCTGGGAATTTTCCCCAGAAGTTGAGTCAACTCAGTGGACGGTGATTGAATATCTGTAACCGATCAAGGAGCTCTGATGAGCAAGGCTTTGTGCTATGACTGGTTCAGTCTAGGCAGGAAGACCACTTTGTAAAAACTGAGAAGCTCTAAGAGGGGTGTAGACAGTGTCAAGCCCCACGCCCAGGAGCTGTCATTAGTAGACTTGTGGTGGACCCTCCAAGAGTGTTTCCTGCCTGGATAATCACATATACTTCCTCCTGTTTTTTCATTTTAACTGAAATGGCAGTTATTATACTTGCCCTTCCTTTTCCACTCTGTGGTTGCATCGTAATTTAAGTGGCCAGTTCCTTGTCCTCCAGGGTCTTAGAGCCAGCTCCACTGTCGGCCCTGTGGTAAAAGGATCAAAGGAGGGTGAGCCCGGCGCTGTGGGAACCTGGGGCCCTGCCCAGACCCCCAAGCACACCCAGTGTGCAGTCAGCACCACAGCATAGCCAGGCAGTGGGGCTGAGCCTGACGCGCCCAGTGCGGGCTGGGGTGGGGAGTGCTATATGGGAAGCAGCACGCTGCAGGGGTCTATTGGTCCCTAGGGCAGAGTTGAGTCTCCTTGTTGCCTTGGTTGCCTACTTGGTGCCAGGTGTCTTGAAGCTCAGAAAAGCAGCGTAAGGCTTAGTCCCTGACTCCGGGCACAATCCTGCCCAGCTCGGGAGAGGAGGCCATCTTGCCTCCATGGGCACTGTGCTAGGAAGCTCGTCCATGTTGTATGACACACAGTCTGCCTGTGAGAGGGCTTTGTCACCAAGTCCCACTGGATATCCACGTGGATTCATTTTCCTGCTCTCCTGTGAAGGCCTGCCGTGTAGGCTTGGAGGCGTGTGAGGCCTGCCCAGCGCGCACAGGAAGGGACAAGGCCCAAGTGTGCCCAATCCTCCATCGCAGGGGGAGCAGAGCAGGAAAGGCAAGCAGCTCGTGCTTCTCAGGTCTCAATGCATTTGCCTCTCCTCTTTCTGAGACCTGCTGGTTTTCTTTTCCTTCTGCAACCTGGATGAGTGGGAACTGCTGTAGCGGGGGCACTGGTCCTCAAGTGAAATGGAGCTCCAGCGACTTCTTGTCCACCCTGTAAGCTCTCCCGAGGACATTTCTCAGGCCTTTTTGATGGCGCCTTTTTTCTTGTACCATTTCATCCATTCGTGGAATGTGTGCACTGGGTGTTTGCTGTCGCAGGTACCATCCTAGATGCTTGTGGAGCAGCCCTCCCCTCGGGGGTGGGGAAGCTGACAGCAAGCACGTGGAATACCAGGCTGTGTTGGGATGTAAGTGTGGTCCAGAGAGGAAGAACCAGGGGAGACGGGGCGGGTACCAGGGGAGCCGGGAGGAGCTGAGGGTGTGCAGCCAACCAGCCACAGTGTACCTCCTCCAAGCTTTGCTGTCCTCCTGCGCTCGGCCTCTCCTTCACTTTGTTTTGGGGTTTTTTGTTGTTGTATTGTTTGTTTTTGTTTTCTTTGGTGGTTTTTATTTACATTCTTTTCCACCAAAGTGAACCAGAAGTTAATACCTTAAGCAGACTTTTGGTGAATGAAGAAGCAATCATCCCTGCCTTGTGACCTAGAAGTTGACAGAGCTGAGCAGAAAGGTGCCATAAAAGGACACACACACACACAGAGCACCTATGTTCCCTGTAGCAGGAACAAGATCCTGGGCCTTGCTGTATGGGTTACCCTCAGCTGGAGAATGCAGAAATGGTTTCTGGAGTTACTGTAGGAACCGTTAGCTCTTGCCAGTGGTCTCAGCAGGAGAGTAGGGAAGTGGGGTGCTCAGCAGTCAGAGCCTAGTCAAGCAGCAGTCTCCTCAGGTCCTAGGTGCTGGACAGCATCTGTCAGTGTCTGGCAGAGCAAGAGAAGCAGGATGGTGTCCTACCCTTAAAAAACATCCAGTGTGGCTCCATGGTGTGCCACCATCTGCTTTTGTCACTGTGCCCAGTCCTCCAGAGGACCACTCTCCCTCTTTTGCCCTTCCTGTTTCAAGAAAGAATGAAAAGATAAGCAGCACGATTAAACTTGCCAGTAAAGCTGGAAGGCAGGAAGTGCGGAAGCTTTGGCCTCCTCAGTCCTCTGCGTGCCCTGGGATGGAGCGGAGGCTGCAGCCCAGGGGTTCACCACGCAGAACAGGTCCGAGCGGCCTGGAAGTCAGCCAGGCCTGCAGGAGCAGCCTCGTGTATTTCAGCCCAGTCCCGAGGTTCCCTGGGCCTTGATGCCGCTCTGCCTCGCCGTGGCACCTGTGTTTCTTGTGAGGCTGAGTTGGAGGAGAAAGGAGTGAAGGCTCACCCATCATGTTGGACAGACACACCGTTTTTCAGCTCCTAATTTGGGAGTGTTTCTGAACAGTTCCGCTAAGTGGAAATAAAAGTTGGAAATGTGTTTCCCACTTACCTACATGATAAAGAGCATCGTACTGAACCAAGTAATTTATTTTTTATTCATTTATTTTTTGGTACTGAGGATCAGTCTTACAATGTTGTGCTTGCCCGGCATGCACTTAGGCTGCTGAGTTAAATCCCCACTCACCAACTTTAAACACAAGAAAGATTTTATAGTTAAAAGCATAACAAAACCCTATTTTAGAATTGAATCATTAGCTCATTCGGATCACTGATTGAATTCCTAACACTTTTCCAATGTTAAAGTGGGATCCATGACGACATGTCTTGTGACAGGTCTCAGTTGTAAGCACAGGACAACAGCCCTGGCAGCTATAGTGATGTTGCCAGGCCTCCGTCTTGGGGAGCTGGCCACGCACTGCCTCCCAAGCACAGTGAAGAAGGTGTGCGGGAGGGGGTCGTCCTGCCAGCCTGCATACCAGGCACCAGTCACAGCTGGCCTTGAAAAGGATGCGGCCGACTCAGGCGTGGGTCCCTCCTACGTAGCTGCTGCCTCCACACTGTATGGCCACAGAGGCAGTGGGGCGCAAGCCTTCCTGCTGTACAGTCCTTCCCTCGTGTCTTTTGAGTCACTATGTCCTGTTTTGCATTGAAGTTACTAAATTTATGATGCATTTGTGTGTTTAAATCTCACTTTTTTCTGGTTGGTATAATGTTATTATGAAGGCCTTTAAATGGATAACTGCCCATGAGAATTTTTCTTCTATTTTTTTTTTTTTTTTTTTATACTCTGCCCTGCCTGGTTGTATGAGAAGAGGGCCCCGTGTTCCCTGCTGGGCACCTGAGATTTGGGCTGCCGGGTTACAGTCTGTATGCACTGCTGAAACCCAGGCATTTGTCTTCATGTGAGATACTTCCTTCTTTGCTCTTCCTTTAACAGTCCTTGTGTCAGTTTGCTCTGCCCAGTAATAATGTTAAGATTTTAGTTCCATTTCCAATTTGATGCTTACTTTTTCTTCTCCTTTAGAGCTAGGGTCTCATGTAGTTTAGGCTGGTCTTGAAGTCATTTGTGTAGCCCAAACTAGCCCTGAACTTACTGTGATCCTCCCACTTCAGCCTTGTGAGATGACAGGTGTGCACCACAGCAAGTCAGAGGTGCTTTTAAAGCAAACTCTCAGCCAGGCATGGTGGCGCACCCCTGTACCCAGCCCTCGGGAGGCAGAGGCAGGAGGATTGTGTAAGACCAGCCTGCACTCTATGGTGAGACCATGTCTTTATAAAAAAAGGTGGGGGGATGGGAAGGAAATGTCTCTTATTTGCTATGAACACACTGGCTTTTTAACTTCACTTTATCTAGAGCAGTAGACTCACCAATTTAAAATCCTGTGTTTATAGTAACTAGTACTCCTGGAACTTCTTTCTTTAGTTTGAATGTTTACAAATGTCTTCTATATTTGGTTTTAATCTAAATAGTTTCCTGGATTGAACACTGATATGCAAGAAATGAGTAGAAGTCAAGAAAAGCAGACCTGGTGGGAAAAAGCCCTGTACTCTCCCCTTTTTCCTCCATCAGAATGTGAAGGTAAGGAGACAGGTGTCCCGTCAATTAATTCATTAGGACTTGTGTTTCATTATGAGCAAGAAACCCTCACGAGTCAGTCCGAGGACTACTTACCACAAAGGTTTCTTTGTGGCTAGCACTTCAGTCATCGAGAACTGGACCCTGCTCTTAAAGTGCCCCCAGGGCTGAGTGAAGTGAAGGCTTGGGAAGCGTGAGCACCCTGCGGTGAGAGATGCTCAATCCTAGCTCCCTGGCTTCTGGGGGAAGAAGTCATCTATAGTCCCCGCTGGAAGAGGGCGGGCAGCTCTGGCTCTGCGGCAGCTGGGGAAGCAGGAAGCCGTGGGGAGCCAGTTGGGAGTGGGCAGAGTTGGGCTACATCCATTGTGTAGGGAGGGGGCTGAGAAAGATTTGGGTGTGGCGGTGTTGGGCTCAGATGCATGCTGAGGATGCTGCTGGCATGGCTGAGATGGCCCCGTAGGAGTGAGGTGGCACAGTCGGCACCTATGCAGGGAGCTGGGGAGACTGGTGAGGAGCCGTCTGCGAGGAGCAGTTTCCTTCAGGCCAGTTCTGAATGAGTACCTACAGGAGCAGTCGGAGAATCCTGACCAGCAGTCCTGGGAGCAACAGGCCAAGGAGGCAGCCTTGCTGGACCGGCTCAGGCAGGCAGGCGAGGCCAGCTTTCGACCTCCTGGGCGTCCTGGGCCCATCGCATGTGTGGGAGGCAGTTGGTCCTTGCTGTCAGAGTCGGAAGCTGTGGCACATCCCTCGTGTCTCCCCAGCTGGACTGCACTTAGCTTGCAGCCAGTGGCTGCCCTCCTGGGCACAGTGTGTGCCCACATAGCCCATCAGCCTTGGCTGTTGGACTCTTTAAGTTTCTCTCTGTGCAGTAACCACAGAGGGCTTCCCATGTCCTGCTGTCATTCCCAGAGGTCTGGTCAGATCGCAGGGTGGGAGCTGGGTCATCTTGGCGTCTGACTCTTGCATGGTTGCTGGCCCTTGCTGTCTGGAGGTGCTCCCTTTCTGTGGCCCCTTCAGGACTGGATGAGCTGCTGCCTCTCTTCAGTGGAGGGCGTAGTGTTGCAGGGTTAGTGGTTCACCCAGACCCTGCAGCATAGCCGTCGGGCCAGGCTGTGTGTCCTGGAAGTTTTGCCCTGTGCACAGTGGTCTGCGTGTGTGTCAGGAGAACATCAGGGCACTAGCAGCACCAATCCTCTCTCCATAAGCACCAGAGACAGGAGTGCAGCTAGCAGAATGTGGACAGTGATGCCAGAGCTGTGCACAAGGAAGAGAGAAGGCGCTGCGTAGTGGTGTGGGATCCCTCTGTGTGAAGGTTTGCAGAGAGACTGCACCCATGCCTCCCCGGCCCTGGCAGCATGTGTCACTGGGCGCAGGCATCTAGGTCCTGGTCAGCGCTGCAGTCTCTGGCAGGTCTGGGCCAGTGACTGTTCTTGTGAGTGCTGTGGTGTGTGAGGGGTTTGGGAGAGGAGCTTGGAGTGGCTGCTGTCAGTGATGCACGTGCACACTGGCTCTGTGTTTGTTCACAGTTGCTTCAGATGGGGCTTTGCCAAGGAAATGGCTACTCACGCACTCAGCAGAGGCTACAAATGACTTGTCTCAAGCTGCTCAGCCAGTGCCAGCCCCAGGGCTATCAGCATCCCTAGATTGGAATGTCCTCGCTGGCAGAAGACAGAGCCCAGAAGCTGGGCCACTTTCCCTGCCCCATCCCTGCTGACAGTAGAGTGGGGAGATGCAGCCAGGGAGGGGGACCGGTTGCCACCGTGCATGCCTGGCCTGAGCACACCCTTGTGGCAGCTGCCCTCCCACTGGTGCCTCCTGCAGCAAGCGTGTAACTCTCCTGGGCCGGGCACTGCCCTGGGCCCCAGAAATGCAGTGACAGACTCATCCATGTCCTGCCGGCCAGGTGCCTTTGAGGAGGCGCAAGGGCTGCTGCTGGGCTGGTGCAGTAGTGGAGGTCCTTGACAGTGGTGTCACCCTATAGGTGCACCAGGCTCTCCAGGGCTTGGGAAGCGGAGCTGTTACTGTAGCACATGTGGTTGCAGCCTTGAGAGAGAGCCCTGCTGGGAAGCATCACACAGCATTCATGCTGGTGCTAGGGAAGCCCAGCTGAGCAGAGCTGGTGCCACAGGGCCCAGCTAGACCTTGGCAAAGATGGATCTTTCTCTACCTTCACTGCCTTGATTGGTAAAGGGAGATGGAAAAAAGAGCGCCCCCTAGTGGGGCTCTCATGAACAGCGCCTCACGCAGGTTGTCACTGAAAACCTGGGGCCTGTCCCCAGGAATGCTGTGGAAAAGCTGGACTGAGCTTGAGTGTTACACCTTCCCAATGAGTGTGGGAGGGGTCCCCTCCATTCACGAGCCCAGAGGACAGCCCTCCCCCCTGCAGTCCCAGTGGGGTGGGGGCAGGCCTGTGGGCACTTGGGTGAGGGTGAAGCAGGGTCTCTAGCCCCTGAGAGGACAGTGTCCACAGCAGTCCAGGGCCTGTGTCCTGGACCGGTTCGTATGGCTGTTACTGTGCCCCACACAACACCTTGTCTTTGTGCATAGAGCCCTTGGAGGGTTGTGGCTGGGAGAGGGCGGATGATACCTGTGTGCCCAGGAGTGGCGCCTCCTGTCACACACATCGCAGCCTGTAGGCGGCCAGAGCCTGGAGGAGTCTCAGGAACCTGAGCTAGTGACCTCTGTGCCCAAGCCACCCTGCTGTGCAGTGTCCCAGGAGGCCTGCCCTTGCTGGGGCTGGCCCAGTCCTCTGTGGCTTGGGCACAGGGATGGCCTGGCATCTCTTGTCACCTCCTGATAACTGTTGACATGCACATGGCCTTAGAGGACGTACTTGCCTAAGTGGACGTCCAAGCCAGGTGCTGCCTTTCATGTGCCTCAGAAAGGAGCAGTCCCCTGGGAACCTCTGAAGGTTGAGGTTTCCAGGGCTTCCCCTGGGCCTTGTAAGTAAGCCAAGTGGAGAATGAGGCTGTGTGTGATCTGGTCTGCATGTGCCTGCCGGCCTGTAGTGACAGGCCAAGTCTCCTCTGCCCCCCAGGCCACAAAGGGGCCACACATGCACTCAGTGGCGTGGTGTCAGGGCAGCCTCCTGAAGTGAACTGAGCTGCCCAGCGCCTGCCCCTACACTGTGAGCACCACCCCCTCCAGGACGGCGTCTCCCTCCCTGTGTGTCCGACCTGGAGAGTCTACCCGACGTCTCTATGACCCTGCATACCCGGGCCGCTCACCGTCAGGTGTAGGAGATGCTCGCTGAGTGACTGTCTCAGGGAAGAATCCTGGGTTGCTTGTGGAGCCGGCCCGTTCTTGTAACTCACTCAGACACGTGGCCTGAGAATTTGCAAATGTGTCATGGTTTTGTCCAGGGCACCCGGCTGTCCTCCCGTGGCTATAGACTCTCCGGAGGGTGGCAGACCAGCCTTTGCTGTGAGAAGGGGATGAGAATGTGTGTTTCCTAACTACGTCTTAATGGAATTTCCCCTCTCCCTCTTTTCCCTTCTCCATTTGCAATGACTAAGAATGCTACACAAATGCCAAGGGAGAGAATGGCCTAGAAGACATTAAAGAAATACCCAGCAGTGAAGAACATCTGTTAGATTTTAATAGGGTAAGTGGGTTGTTCCCCTCCTCGGTACTAACTTAGAAATGGCTGCCTCTCCCTGTGTCCAGTCACAGGCTGGGAGTCCCCAGCTCTGTGGGCCGGGCCTCACCTCCCACCCTCCCCACCATTGCTGGTGGGGGGCGGCTTCCTGCAGGATCCGGCACCCCTCTACAGTGAACGAGCGCTGACCCCACCGTTCCCCTGCCTCTGTGGGACCCACACTGCCCTTTCTGTGGTCCAGCACATGGTGGCAATGTGCGTGTCCGCATTGGTGACTCGGTGACTGCCTGGGGAGCACCTGAAGGTGTGTGGCCCATGGCCTCTGCACAGCCTTCCCCAGCAGTAGAGTGACTGCTCCCAGGAGTCTCATTTGCTTCCTGTGCTAGTTGTCCCTGGAACAGTCGTGCTCTGGGGCACCTCATGGTGATGGCGCTGGTGGTGCCGGTACCCCTGCTCCACTCTGGGCAGGTGACCCAAGCCATCCCCCTCAGCCTCCAGCCCGGACACTGCCCATCACCCCACTCCTCTCCTGGAGAGCAGCCGGGCTTCCCTTTGTTCACTTCTGCTTCTCCTACCCAGGAGGCAGGGCCTGGTGCTTGTGAGCACAGCCAGCCCCACAATCTGTAGTGTAGCACTGGGCCACCCAGAGTAACAGCAGGGAGTGGTCGGGGTACAGGCAGGCTGGGAGCCACCCACCCCCACACGGCCTCTGCGTGCGCCCCACCCCACCCACACCTCACATCCCCTCTCCATGGCTTTTCGTGCTCCTGCCCCATTCTCAGGCAGGGCTGCTACTTGAAGACAGGGTGGGGCTGCAGCCAGTCTCCGAGGTGGCTCAGGGAGACTGGGCTAGCTGCTGTGGCCGGCGCAGCTGCTGCTCACCTTTCTGTCCTGGAGCTAGAGGTGCCCATGGGAGGCTTCAGATAAGGAGTTTGCCCTGGAAAGCACCTGCTGAACCTGGCAACCCCGGTCGAAGCAGCCTAGAAGTGGCCACGCCCTCCAGTCCCTCTGCCTCTGCCAGAAGCACTGCCTTCCTGCCTCATGGTCCCCAGGCTCTGTCCCAGCTTGTGTATGTCGGTTTGCTCATCCATGTCCTGCCCTGCCGCATGAGGGGGGTCATCCTCACGCATCCTCCCAGTGCAGCCGGGCTGCTAGGAAGTAGGAGCCTTCCTTTCGCTGGCCTGACATCCCCTCATGTGTCCAGGTGACTGGGCAGCACAGGTGGGCTGTGGAGGCCTTCAGGCCTTGGGGAGGGGTAGTGGCCTGCTCTTGCACCCTGTAGGTGTGCACCTTGGCTCCTGCCTCAGCCCTGCGGGCGGGTAGAGTGTGGCAGCCCTTGCAGGACCCTGGGTTCTCACTGTAAGGAATTGTGCTTGCCTTGCAGGTGTCTTCTGTCTATGAAGCGCGGTGTGCCGGAGAGGGCGGTCCCGGGGTCCGGGCCAACGGCCTCTGCAGGAAGACGCGCTCCAGCGCCAGCTCTGAGCCTGGAGACTCAGGCTCTGATGGCAGTGGCGAGTGGGGGGCCGCTCGCGAGGGGGCACTCTTCTCCCGGACGCACCTCTGACTCACATTAGCGCCTATGGCTCTCCACGCAGTGCCGTGGGAAGCTGCCCTTCGTGAGGCCCATCCACCTGAAGCAGCAGCATAGGTTTCCCGAGTAACTGATTCCAACCCGTGACTTCTCCTCCTCCTCACTTGAGCATTGAGGACCGTGGTCCTGTTGAAGATTTCTTTCCCAGCTGTGCATCCTTGGCTATTGAGTAGACTAGATGTGCTGTCCGATCCAGAATGGGTGTGCATGTGCTCGTCCTCCAGGGGCCGCTGCCCTCGCCCCATAGCCACAGGCCCCTCCCTTGCACTGTGATGACATCACTGTCACTCGTCAGCACTACTGTGCTGACTCCACTTCTGCTGTTCAGAGACTTTAGCTTCAGAGTGTTGAGCTGTGTCCTCTAAGCACTGGGAGAGCGCTCTCCCCACAGTGGGGCATCCTCTCCGGGGTGGGAGAGTGCAAGGGACTCATCCCGGCTCCGTCCAGGGGATGCCGTGGACCTGGCAGGAAGAGTGCAAGGGTGTGCGTGCGTCGGGAGGCTCTCAGCACGCTGCGTCCTCCCGGGGTTTCTCCTGAAGTAGCATGAGGGTACCATGGGGTGTCTTGTGTTGCTAACCGAGCATGCCAAGGTTTTGGGGCATCCGATGGGGTGCCTGCCCCTCTGCCCTGACTAGGAGGGTGTTGCCATGTGTCTGCACCAAGACGCAGGCCCAGCTCTCTGAAGAGGGTGAGCCCAGTACAGAGCTGTGGTTGCTGGTTGTGGTTTTCCTGGTGACTGTTCAGTCCCCCAAACCTGAACTTGTGAGCATTGGACATGGAATAGAGGCCCTGTCACCCCACGGGAACCTTCGACTGCCACAGCTCGCCACTCCCGTGGCGTGGCTTGGTGTGACATGGCGTGGCATGGCATGTTGTGCTGTTGCTGCTCTCATCCATGTCTGAGAGGATACGGCAAGTGGTTCCTCGTGCCGTGGGTGGGTGGCCAGAGTGCTGTCCACGTGCCCCAGCACTGCTGTTCTGGTCGGCACCATGTGTCATGGTTCCCTGGGGGAGCTGGTCTGTCTTTTCGTCTGTACCCTCTGATCACTTTGGCTCTCCAGCCACGCAGTGGCAGGGTCAAGACAGGGAGCCGTATCGGCAAAACTGAAACATTTTAAGTTGTTCTTCAACCAACTCATCCTGTTGCAGTCAGTTCCATGTGGTGACCTCAGGAACAGGGAGATGCCTGGCGTGGCCCAACAGCCTGGCCACTCCTCTGGCTGTGAAGAGCCTGGTTGGCCCCAAGGGTTTGTGTGTGTCGCCCTGTTCTTAGGTGACAGCACAGAAAATGGCACAAAGGCTGTGGTCCTGGAGGTTCCGTGTCACCTTTCTCTCCCGCAGTAGTCCAGCGTGCTCGCTGGGCTCCGTCCCACCACCTGTTAGGGTACATTTTTATACAGCACATCTTGGACACTTTACAGTGGGGTGTGTGGGTGTGTGTGTGTGTGTGTGTGTGTGCGCGCGCGTGCGTGCGCATGGGTAAGGTTTTATGTTGCTGTTATTTATTTACAGACATCAGATAAGTTGTTACGTATTTTTCTTTCTTCTGGAGCTTCCTAAAAACTGATTAGCATCTGCACTGAACTATAATAGCAAAGGCAAAAAAGAAGTGGAAGTTGTGAATTCCTAAAGTCACTGAAGCGGCAGTTTCCCTAGAGTCGCTGCTCGAGTCGCAGAGACCAAATGAGCAGGTTTGAGGTGCAGCCTTGGGCTGAGAGGCTGCCTCAGGCGGGCGCCAGCAGCCCTGGTGCAGAGAACACCTGCCCCAGTGGGGTGGAGTAGGGATGGCCACGGAATGGCGAATTCTGTGTTGATTGGTTTTCATGATTAAGTGGCTAAAGCTGAGAGACTTTCGGCAGCAGCTGGAAGTGTGGTGTTTAGTTTTTGTGAATGGTGGCAGGCGCCGAGGCGCACTGTGGTATGAAGCGCATTGCACAGCCATAGCACTGAAGTATCAGTTTCCGTTCCTGGGCTGAGATTTCTTTCCCGTGGTTGTATTGTTCTGATTTCACGTACACCAGAATAACAGGTTTTTGTTTTCTTGTGGAGTTAACACCAAATAAAAATAAAAATGAAGCAGCCTGTAGTTCTGTTTCTCACAGCAGAGACTGGGTACTGCGTGCTTCACCAGACAGTGGGCACCCTGAGGCCGCTCACCCCGACTCGGGCGGGCTGTGCCGGGCCCTCCGCTGACTCCAGCTTCTGCTTTCTCATCTGCTTCGGAGCAACACAGCCTTCCAGCACGCTCCCACGTTCCGTGCTGCTTCATAAGGGAAATCGGGGTATAAAGGAAGAAGGGGAGAGCCCGCTGGCCCCATGGCCCTGTGCTGCAGGCCCGCCCTGTGAGCATGTCGTGGGGCTCACACTGCAGGGCCGCAGGAAGGCAGTGCGAGAGCTACACACGCGCCTCTTCCTTCAGATGAGCAGGCTCCTGGGCGACACCAAGTGTCTGATGACACTTTCATGGACGGACAGGTGTGGCCCTGCCTTGCCCTGGCCCACACCGCACTGCACCGCAGAGAGCTGCAGGCTACCCTTGCCCTGCGTGGGGCCGAGCACCCCTCGCCATTCTCAAGGTTAGTTGCCTGCCATTTGGGAGTAGAGAAGATGGCGTTCCCCGAGGAAGGTCTGCATGCTGTCCTGATGCATTCTGGGACAGGACGGGACGATCTTAATGCTTTTCCTCCTGTAAGAGTTCAGAGCCATGGGGGCTGGGGATTTAGCTCAGCGGCATAAACGCCTGCCTTGCAAGCAGGCAGTCGTGAGTTCGATCCCTGGTACCGATAAAAACGAAAAACACAAAAAACAAAACAAAAGCAGTTTCCCACATCCTGCTAGTACCTGTGCACTCCATGCACAGGTGATCTGTGAGCCCCTTCCTTTGGGCTGAGCTTGGTGTCAGGGTGTGCCCTTCTGTCCTCCCAGGCACCCAAATGTGAGCTGACTTCCTCTGAGGAGCTGTGGAATGACTCCTTTCATGGCCGCGTTGCATGATTCTCCACAGCTCTATTTTTCCCTTTAATATGGAGTAGAGAATCAAACCCAGGGCCATGTGCACCCAAGGCCACAGCCCCAGCCCCAGATTACAATTTTGAGGCGTACATATCACGCACAGGGCTTAGGCTTAGGGATTTGATCTCTCCCCGGGGTAGTGTTTTTATGAAGCCCTCCCCTGCCGCCTGTTGTCATGAAGGGATTCGGGGCTCTGGGGAAGGAGGGAGCCCCTGGGGTAGGAGGTGTTCCCAGGCAAGAGCGGAGGTTTATCTGTTCCAGTGCTGAGCTTGTTGGCGAGGGCCAGGGCTTCTCAATGGCAGCAGAGGCTGCTCCAGAGACTCGTGTGGGGCTGTGTCCCATAGAAGGCGCTTGAGGACGGGCACCTGCCAGGGACCATGCCACACCACACCACTTGAGCACAGCACCTGCAGCTTGGAGGTGGTGTCACCTAGGGTTCTGGCCTGGTCCTGTCCCAGGAGTTCAGATGTCAATGCTGCAGGTTCTGGAGAACAGGCAGAGGGCCAGGAAGGTTTCTGTCATCTGCAGGGCTCAGGCCATTGCTCTCCCACTACAGTGCCGCCCCAGCAGGTTCCAGCACACGTTAAGTGGCCACATGGTTCCCAGGGTCTGCTTGCATCTGCACAGAAGCCCAGGAGCTGAGGATCCTGGCCTGGCTTGCCTTTTTTTTTTTTTTAATATCAGAACTTGAACTTAGGCCCTTGTGCTTTCCAGGCAGGCACTGTGTCACTGAACTCTGTCCCCAACTCTGAGGCCTGGCTTCTCTTGAGACAGCAGGGAAGGTGGCCTCAGGGTGCACTGTCACAGGCAGTAAGACAGGAAGCTGCTGTTGCATCAGCCTGCCACTGCCTTACGCCATTGACATGGTTAATGAGTAGTGTTTTTGGGGACCCTTTCATGGTCAGATAGCCGTGACTGTGATGATGTCACTTCCTGAGATGGGGTGGTGCCAGCAGAACCAGCCACACCTGGGTGGCTCGCCATGGGCCAAGAGGGTGGCCAGCTGCCCCCACCCTGTAGCACAGGGGTTGGACTCAGAGGTTAACCCCAAGCTGCAGCCTCAGCCCTTTTATGTTTTAGAGACAGGGTCTCCCTAGGTATCCCCAGCTGGGCTTGGAACTGCCGTGCTCCTGCCTTGGCCCCAGAACGTTGGGGTCTGCAGGCCTGGCCGCTGCTCACCTGCTCACCACCCCCTTTCTCAGTGCGCTGACAGTACTGGCCAGCGTCCCCAGGTCCCAGCTGCAGGCAATGGGTCCTGCTTCTCCTGAGTGGCCTTTTCCTCTTCCTGGAGGGGAGCTGCTTCCTGCCATTGACAGGGAGTCATTTCCAGATCCAGAACAGTGTCCCCGGTGTGAGGGGAGGTCATGAAAGGACCTTTGATCGGGGTAATAGCCTTCCCCAGAGTTGCTAGAGCACAAAGATCAAGACCCAGCCCTGTGCCCTGGCTGAGGAAACCCTGTGCCTACGGGAAGCACCAGGTTGGAAATTCAAAGAGGAAGTTGCTACAGGCATCCTGTAACTCAGGAGAAAATCACAACTTTGCGGGCTGTGCCTCCTTCCGTCCTCCCTCCACCTGTGGCAGTAGAGTCCTTGAGGGCCCCTGGCCAGGCCAGTGCCCTTGGTTTCCATGGAGCCAACAGAAGTCATGCAGCGCCCAGTGCTGCCAGGGTGCTAGGCATGGTCCTGTGACCACCATGGGACTGGCAAGGACACGGCAGTGACCTCTGCTTGTCCCCTGCCCTGGTACGCTGGGCTGCAGCACCTCCGAGCCAGGCTGCCTGCCCTGTGGAGGAACGGGAGGAGGTAGGCAGGCACACAGCGGGCTGTGTAGGCACGGCCAGGAGCACGGTGCCTGGTGCTTGCAGGGACCTTCCATCTCCCATCGAGATCCCGAGAACACAACGGTTAGAGCCCTGGGCTGCCAGCAGCCCCCTCCCAGAATGGCAGCCCACTGGCCACTGACCATATCCAGCAGAAGCTTCCACGCATCCTGCAATACCCCAGCAACCTGGAGCCTGAGTCCTGGGTGGGGTCAGCCCTGCTGGGGCCAGGCCCAGCCTGTCCAGCTCTGACCCAGCCTGGCATGCCAGTTGCCATCAGTGTCGGAGTCCAAGGGACTGTCCTGGGAGCACACCTGGTCCAGCAGGGGGCACTCTCGGACCCTCAGGATGTCTGGTGCTGCCCCCAGCCCTGGCCACTGCATCCCCACCCTGGTGCCCCTCCTGTAGGGCACTGAGCGGACCTGCACCTGAGGCTGGAGCCCTGCTGCAGCCTGCCACAGCTTGTCTTCTGGGGGCATCCTCTGTGGCACATGTGAGGGCCTATCAGGGCTCTGCCTTCCTGGGCCACAACTGGGCCCCAGACCAGAGGAGCTGATGCCTCTTGTCAAGGGCCCAGGGCTTTCTCATGGCTTTTCTTAGGGTGCAGGTCCTTGTGGCCACAGATGTCACACAGCCTCACGGCCTCCCACAAGCTGCAGGCTGTGAGCCCATGATAACAGGAGGCCGGGGCAACTGGCCTGTGCTGGAGACGGCGCTATCTCCCCAGGACTCGCCACAGCCATGCGGTGACCACAGAGGCGGATGTTGCTCCAGCTAGGGATCCTGCTTGGATGACAGCGCCTGTGTCCTGGTGGCTGTGCTGGCCCCTCCCACATGCTGTTAGCCCACAACTGAGTTGGTCATGGTGCCCACCCTGCAGCCCACAGTCCTGGTGTGTCTTCAGGGTGTAGCTGCTGAGCAGGAGGACAGTGAGGTCTCAGCCCTGGTCTCCCCAGCTGTGAGAATGCGGGGTAGTTCACCTCCTGTCCAGGGAAAGCCTCACCCCAGCCATGTGGGCAGCAGCCTGGCACAAGGAGCCCAGTGTTTGCAGAGCAGGAGGTGTGGAGCACCAGGGCAGCCCATCCCCCTCCTGACACAGGCAAGGCCTCCCTCACATCCCAGGGGAGTCTCGAGGGCCCATGTGGTGCCCGGAATCTTCCCCGGTGCTGGCTCTGGGAATCTCCACGTAGTGACAGAGTTTCTTGCCCCATCAGACATCAAAAGGGAGAGGTTTGCATCTGCCAGGCTGGACATCGAGGGCACTTGCTGGGCTAGTGCCGCTCTGGCTGCGTAGCAGGTTGGGAGCAGGTGGCTGCTGGGTGACAGTGTCCCACTGAGTGGCCAGTATGACCATGTCTGAGCTGGCCATAGAAACGGATGAAGCGGAGCCCACAATGATGAGCTGGGTTTAGGGGGAGTGGGGGGTGGTGGTGGCTGTGTAGTGTTCACAGTCACACGGCAAACGCATCAAGAGCCTGCTGTGTGCTGGCCTGTGCCACAGGCTGGCAGCCTTTCATCTTAAACCGATAAAGCCTGTCACTGCAAGAGTGGTAGTCGTGGGGCTGGGGATTTAGCTCAGTGGCATAAGCGCCTGCCTTGCAAGCAGGCAGTCATGAGTTCGATCCTCGGTACCATAAAAAGGGAAAAGAAAAAAAAAAGAGTGGTAGTTGTCAGGAAGCAGTGGTGGTAAGTGCCACACCATGGGCACAGCACAGCTCACAGCGGCCAGGTTTTGGAAGCAACCTCTGATCATCAGCAGACGAATGGAGAGTACAGCACAGAGCACTACTCTGCCTCCTGGTAGACTTAGTCATCTGTAGGAAGATGGGTGCACCTGGAGACCGCGGTGTGAGATGCAGGAACTTAAACACCACATGGCTTCTCTCACATGAGAAACAGTACAAATAAAGAGCAAAATAGACAACAGGAAGAAGGGAGGGTTTTTTCACCCCTGGTTCTCTGGTAATCCCGATTTTAGTCTCCAGGGGCACCACCACATACTGAGTAGAAGAACCTCCAGATTCAGTGACAAACCTGTTAGTTTTTGCAACATTTTAAAGAAAATGAAGGCTGAGGCAGGATTGTCGCAAGTTGAGACCAGCCTGGGCTACAAAGTGAGCCCAAAGCCAGCCTGAACTGCATAGTGAGACCCTGTCTCAAAAAGAAATAACAAACCAAAAATATCAATGGCTTATGTCTAATTTCAGCACTCTGGAGGCTGAGGCGGGATGGTCGAGAGTTCAAGTT